GGCGCGGAGGCGCGGGGGGAGCCGGCGCTGCACCCCTGGCGCGCGCGGAGACGGGTGCTTTGAAGCAAGGATTCCTAGCTTTGGGGGTGCTAGTTAAAAACACTATTCCTGTGTCCGGTCCCTAGAGGTTGAATCATTAGGACTCAGCGGGAGTCCACGCTTAAGGTGCATCATCCCCGGTGGCTTCAGTAGCTTGAATATTTTATGTCGTACTTGAACAGAAGTAAGTTTTGGCATATTGGGCAGAAATTTGTTTCCATTGATGTTTTACACCCTTGCAGTGCAGTGTGACCTTGAAGAGCTATTCATCTTTTCCTTGGATGACGTTTTTCCTCTGTTCAGAAGTTATAGTCGTCTTTTAAATTTCCCCATTGACTGCTGGTACAAATCTTAAGTCAAAACCGCAGTTATAAAAGCAGTCACACACCCTGTAAATTCTCTTAAGATACTAGCGTCCAATCTGTATAGGCCGCATAACTTACATAGTCATGTATTTTGTTACTGTTCAAACTGGGGTTTAAACCTAATTTAGATGATCCATCTCAAACTGGGTTTCGTAGGATCGATTTCTTGAATTAACGGGACAAGCAGAAGATTTATCATTAACATTTAAAAGCTCACTTTAATCCACCTTTTCAACTAAAAGATGATTGGCCCCTTCTTGTCTCTGGACTCCCCATGTCGTTTCCTCGGCTGTTTAATGGGTTATTTTTTGTGTTTGTCTCTAACTAGCTCTTAGACCTGCTTGGTAAGCCCGGTGCCCACCATGCTGGCCGCCAGGCTCGCGTGTCTCCGGACACTGCCTTCCCGGGCGGTCCCCCCGCGGCTCCCCGCAGCGCCCCCTGCCGTGAGGAAGTCCTTCCGCAAGGACCAGTGGCTCTTAACACCCAGCCGGGTAAAGATAATTCGAATGTGTTTATAATGCCTCTCTCTCTCTGTGCCCCATGACCTTCTTTGTGGGTTTTTTTTATGGTATGAACCTCCCTACTCTACCATTAGTCATTTACAATTAGCCCTGATAATGTGCCAAATTAGCTCTTTATCCCCATTAATTTTTCATTCTGTCCTGTCTTTATCTCATGTGAAAGAGAAAAGGAACTGTAATTTGTCCTTTATTTATAGCTCTTACAGTTTTTCATTTAGAGTAATTGGAGAAATTGAAAGAGCTATGTTATAGAGATCACGGAGCCTATAATGAAAAACTTAAGAACCTGGGAATATTACCATTGGCCAATAGATATTACCAAATATGTCATTTCAGCTCTTATTTAGGAAGTAGTAGGATCTCTCAGGTAAGAGAGAAACCCATTTCCTTTAATAGATTTCTCCTCTGGCATTCAGAGCAAAAGTATAAATTTTGAAATGTGAGGTAGATAAAGAAATATACAGAATCTAGAAGAGATGTTTTACCTTTTAAATTAACTTTCACTGTTGAGGAGCTAAAATAGAGGTGGGTAGTAGTCATTCGTCCCTTTGGCTTTGTGTTAAGGAAAGAAACTGTCTTGAGCCTATATCCCAGATGAAAAAAATGTAGCTAATACTGAATGCATGTTTTTAAAAAGTTAGTGTTTAAAATATAATTTTAAAGATATAAATAAAACCTGTAGTTTATGAAATAAACAATTCTGAAACTTTAAGAAGTTGTAATGAATTAGTAAGTTACTTTGAAGATAGAGCACAATTATCTTAATAATAATAAATTAATTATTTAGTTTGGCTAACATTCTTCCATAGTAAAATTACATACATATAAAGTACCAGCTTGCTTTATATAGAGTTATCTAGTGTAAGGAGATTCTCTTTCATTATTGTTACCATTTCTGTTTTGTTGCAAGCGTTGTATGTCTTTGTTTTCATGTATATCAGGAATATGCCACCAAGACAAGAACTGGGGTCCGGCGTGGGAAAACTGTCCAGGAACTCAAGGGAGCAGCATTGGACCCATCAATGGAAAAAATATTTAAAAGTAGGTGTCAGTTTAACATTTTTAATGAGGTCCATAATCAGCAATTTCCTAGAAATATATGCATACTTGCATCTGTGTGTTTTCTGGAAAGAAAGGCAGTCATTTTCATAATCCCCAGGGATCTGGTGACCTGGAAAGATGGATTCTGCACATTGGGCACAGTGGTTCCCAGTTACAGCTCTTTCAGAGAACATTTTACTTTCACCATTATTTTTTTAAGGATTGTTAGTTAAAATGTCATCTTTAAAAGGTATAGCCTGTTAAGGAAGTTCATTTGAAGTTGCATAGACTCTTCATTCAAGCATATATTAGTGTGTGTTTCAGGTCAAGAGTAAATTGCCACCCCACAGATGGTAAAAGTCTAGCTGCTCAGGAAGTGTCCTGTTAACTGGCTGCCCCTATAGGGCCTCGCAGGAAGCAATACCTTTGGTTCACAGTTTGGATTTCAGCTTTGCAAGTTCAGAACCTAGATTGTTAATCTACCCAAAGCCAGTCAAAGAACACTACTGCTCCTTAACCTTGCAAAATGTCAATATATTATAGTGGGAGACAGCCCTAATTGGTATTCCTCAGGATATTTCTGATCAGTAAGTTGGCCCTAGAAACCAAATTATATGAATCCTATAGCAAAATAAGTAATGTTGTTAGTGAACAAATTTAGACTAAAGGGAGTAAGATGGTCTTTATGAATACCTTCATCCAATTAGAGTTGATAAGTTGTTTCTTTTCAGTACTAAAGCAAGAGCACCCTCTCCTTTAATTCAGCAGCATAAACATGGGTTACATTTTTCTTTGGCTCCTTTTTTTACTTGACTCCATATAAAACACCGTCTTTGCTAATGGCACTTTAGACTTAATGTGATATAACTGTTAACATTTCTTTCTCATTTTTAAAATTTTTTTCATTGATTTTAGAGAGAGGAAGGGGGAGAAAGAGAAAAAAACATCACTTTGTTCCACTTACTTATACATTATTGGTTGATTCTTGTATGTGCCCTGACCAGGGATCGAACCCGCAACCTTGGAGTATCAGTACGACACTAGCCAACTGAGCTACCTGGCCAGGGCTCTTTCTCATCTCTACTTTCTAAGTATCATGAGAACACACCCCAGACTCTTAGGAGTAAAATAAGGTATATCACAGAAGTCTCCCCACGTCTACAGATACACTGCCTCCAGTTTTGTTGGAATGAGATTAAAGGTTAATCAAAGGTTTTTGTGCTGATGATTATACCTATGTTTAAGCACTGTTCTTTTTTACTAGTCCCCTAATTTTAAGGCCATTTCTATATATATTAATTATAGCTATTACAGAGAAGTATGGTGTATAGTTTGATTTCGCTCATTTAAATATCAGGAAGGGCTTACTACCAGCATTTTAATTTAATCAACATGACAGTATTAACCTGCATTTCCTCCTGTGTTCTACAGTTGATCAGATGGGAAGATGGTTTGTTGCTGGAGGGGCTGCTGTTGGTCTTGGAGCATTGTGCTACTATGGCTTGGGAATGTCTAATGAGATTGGTGCAATTGAAAAGGCTGTGTAAGTAAATTGTTCCCAAACAGTAATAGCCTTAAAGGCTCCAATTTTCTTCTCATTCTTATCTTTTGCCACTTTTGGAATGATTTATGTCTAGTTTTCCAACTGTGTAGAATATACATGAATAAAGATAGAAATCTCTTATTTCCTTGACATGTATTTATTCAAACCTAAGTAAAATTCTTTTTCCAAGGTTCTTCAGGTAAGGAGAAAATGTGTTGCTTTGTATATGAGCCAAGTGCTTATGTGTCTTTTTTTATTATTATTAAGCCAATTTAAAGTTCACCCATTATGAGTATACAATTCAGTGATTCTTGAATTTATGGAGTTTTAACTATCACCATAGCTCAGTTTTAGAACATTTCCGTCACCCCAGAAAGATCCCTAATGCCCAGTTGTAACACTTCCACCCTCAGGAAACCATTAATCTACTTTTTGTCTTTATAGATTTGTGTTTTCTGGACATTTAGTCAGAATAAAATCATGCTGTGTGTGGCCCTTTGGGCCTGGCTTCTTTCACTTAGCATGTTTTTGAAGTTCAGCCATTTTGTAGCATATATATGTATTTCATTCCTTTGTTTCTTTTTTCTTATTTATTTAAAATTTTTTTCCCCATCACCATTTATCCCCTCTATGCCCTTTTCTACCTCCACCCACACCCCTCCCCTGTGTATGTGTTCTATCACTTTTTATGATAACTTCAATGTATGCATCATTTCTGTGGTAAATGAGGTAAGATTTAGAGCAGTAAAGTGATATTTCCCAAGGCTTCCCAGGTCTTCTGATTCAACCAAAATTCACATCCAGAATCTTATAAATTAACCATATTGTGCTTTTTACAGAATTTGGCCTCAGTATGTGAAGGATAGAATTCATTCAACCTATATGTACTTAGCAGGAAGTATTGGTGTAACAGCTTTGTCTGCCCTGGCAGTGAGCAGAACTCCTGTTCTCATGAACTTCATGATGAGAGGCTCTTGGTTGGTAAGTCAACCTTTTTGTTTACCTTTTCCACTACATATCAGAAAGTTAGACAAAAAATATTGGGACAAGATGTTAAATGGAAAGAATACCTTACTAAACTGAACAGGTTTTTGTTAAAATAATATATGAATTATTAGTTCAGCCTGACACATTGTAAGGTATGTCAGCTATTAGTCTTAGTTGAATACGTATTTTATAGTGGCAGAGGGGTTGGAAACCAAACTTACAGGAATGTCCTATGTATCTAGCAGCAGATATCAAACAGCCTCTATTTTATATATTGTATAGCAATTTACTAAAAATACGGTGGACCCAAAACCATGTTGGAGGTCAGTGAAAATGCCTATTACAAAAACCCAAACATTCTATACTATTAAGAGTAGAATAGTGCTGCAACTATTGTGAATTTTCTTGACCCTATGTAAGCTATATTGAATGAGCATTTCTTGTGCATTTGTTATTTTACTAGACACCAAAAACTGATTTGAAATGTGCTGCCTCTTCTTCTCCTCTCTGGTTGAAGAGATGAACTGGGGTAAATGGTAAAGAATATACAATAAAAGAAAGTTTAAAGTCAATTAAAAGACTGTTTTGTCTTGGACTAGTAGGGAAGTTCCATGAAGGACAATTTTATCAGGGCCATTGAAGTCTTGCATTTTTTATTTTAGGAGAGGGCAAAGGTAGTCCAAGTTTGCAAAACAGCTTGAGCAAAGGAGGTAGTCATTAAAAGTGGTTTTACAATTCTGTTAGCATATTTGAGGGCTGGAGTGTGAAGAACACAATTAGGAAGGGGATATGTGACTGCCAAGCTGAGGTGAGTGCCTAAGCAGTGAGTGGCCATTGCAGATACTGAACAGCAAGTCTGATGGGCATTTGAATGTTACGAAGTACTGTGGAAGAGACAAGCAGGTGTGCTAGCCGTGCCTTTGCAAGATCTGAGACGAGGGATGGTAATGTGAACTAGAGCGATGAGTGTGAGACTGGGTGGGAAGGGAAGATGGGAGAGTTTATGTAATACAGATGTCCTGTGGCAAACCAGGTCTCCCCACAGTTAACCCCAGTTCATCTAGCTTCCACGTCTGTAATATTTCCACTATCTTGTACATCCCAAAAGGAGACCCATTTACAGTAGCAGCCATTTGGACAGTCCAGTATTCTTAGGATATTGCTTCTTAGGTGGGTGTCATGAATTGCCTAGCCTAGAGGTTCATGAAGACAGAGAGTAAGCATGGTGCATTCTCACCAGGAATGTTAGTTTAAAATAGTGCTTTTTGTAATAAAGCAATCATGGCTATATGAGGAAGATTAAAATATGCAAAAAAGTTTAGCCCTTAAAATAAGACTTCAAAGAAGTTTTGTGCATGGGTCATATTCTCAACTCCCTGTGGGCATAAGATCACTTGCGTGCTATTGCTCTCATACTTAAGTAAAATAGTTTGGAAAACCAGACAGGTGCTATAGTGATGAAGATGTAGCCTTGGGGTGGGGGTGACACATACACACAGATAATGTCAAAGTTTGTACTAACTGTTTTTGGAACAGAGGAGAGTCATCTGACACCTTGTGGCAGCCAGGGGGCCTACCATAAAAACTTTCCAGACAAAGGAAACCCTTGAACAAGTCAAATAGGAAGAGTTCTTAGGCACAGTGGACAGAATTTAAAAGGCATGAACCTGGGGCATGTTTGCAGCCCTGCTAGTTAAGTGCAGCTGGAATGTACAGTGTGGAAAGCTGAAAGGCAAAAAGTGAAACTGGATCATGAAGGACCTTAAAAGAAAAAAATGTATTTGTGGTAAATAACCTGAAAATGCTTTGCACAGAGATACATGTGGGGTGTGTTTTTTTAATATTTTTATTGATTTTTAGAGAGAAAGGGAGAGGAATAAAGAGAAAACATCGATGAGAGAAACATCAATTGGCTACCTCCTACATATCCCCTATTGGGGGTCAAGCCCACCATTGCTTATCAGAGAGAGAGGAAGGGGGAGAGAGAGAGAAACATCAATGTGAGAGAGACACATCAGCTGGTTGCCTCCCGCACAAGCCCTGACCAGGGCCGAGTTACATGTCCCTGACTGGGGATCAAACCTGCTACCCTTTAGTGCGTCAGCTTACTCTCTAACCACTGAGCTAAACTGGCCAGGGCTATGAAGTAGTTTTTAGTAACTGTTTGTCCATTGGAAAATGGTAGAGTAGAACCCCTCATGCTTTTCTGTACTAATATGAATGAGAACAGCAGAGGTTGCACAGGGAAATGCAGATGAGTGAGGCAGGCATCGTAGGATGCCACACGGGATTATTAGCACCTAGAGAAAAGCCTCAACCAAAAGCACTCACATTCAGTTGGTTTTTTGAGTAATTGGTCAAACAAAATACCTGCTGCCTGACTCTGTCCAAAAGCTACATGTTTGCAGTTTTTCCTTTAAGTTTCCTGAAAATTCATTATCTTCCATTACCTATATTTCTTCCTTATTGTATACACAAGGAATCTTTAAATGTCCTGACAATGGACGTCTAAGGCAAAGAAAAGGGAAGTGGACCAAGTCAGCCAGGAAGTCGGAAGGATAGAAACACAGTCTTATTTCTCATCTTTTCCATGTGCTTTTTGATTTTCAGGTTTTCTTTTAGCAAATGTCCTTATATGTATTCTAATTGGTATATCATGACCAGTTTTTTAAAATGCTATTAGTGCTATACTAAAATAAATAAACTTAAAAATAATTATTTTGGGGTTTTTAAAAAGATTTTGTTAAACCGTTGTCTAAAAAGAATCAGGGTTTTAGAAGATGATGTTATTAGTCAAAGCTTAATTCATTCTCCTAAAGCTGTCTGTAGAACTATGTATGGCAGTAGGAGCACTCTTGCTAACTTGGCCAACCTAAAGTAAAGGCCTTTAATGTGCTTGAAAAATACAGGATTCCGTTTGTTAGCCTTCATCTTTGTAAACAAGGTTTATTGGAAAGACTAAAATTAGAACTTGTGGGTTTCTACTTTGCGGTTGTTTAAGGATAGAGTTTTCTTAGTAATATGTGTCTTTCAGACAATTGGTGCAACCTTTGCAGCCATGATTGGAGCTGGAATGCTGGTGCAATCAATACCCTATGACCAGAGCCCAGGCCCAAAGCATCTTGCTTGGTTACTACATTCTGGTATGTTCTAATTTTCAATTTTTATTAAATCTTGAATACTACCTCTTTGGTGGCTCTTCACAATCATAAATGCTTTGTACATAATTTAATTAAGCTTCATGTTTAGAAAACACAATTTTCAGCTGTTTCTGCTGATTATATGCTAAGGTCATGGACACCCCCAGATTACACTTGCCTCCCGTGACAGTGTAGTACATGCAGAGATGTTCTTTTGTGTGTTTTCTGTCATACCAGGAAGATTTCAGACGTGATACACATCACTTGAGAATTGTTTTCGTTGTGTGTTTTTAAAAAAAAATAAAAAATGGTTAAAAGAAAAAGAAGTTAAGACAGGTGACAGGAGAGGACGCTTCTTCAGTGGAGCATTTGGAGAAGGAAAGCAGTCAGAAAATTTGGAAGCGCACGTCTGTGTCCAACGTGTTCAGCTGGAGCAGTGTTAAGATAGTTCTTGGCACAGGGTTACATTGGGCAGGGCAAAGGCTGTTCAACCTGCTACTGCAGGGCAACTTTCATATCCTTTTAGGTATATGTTATGAATTTTTCCTTAATTTTTGCAAGACAAATATTTGAAAGTTCACACAAAGTTTTCCACCTCAAATATCCTGGGATATTTTTGTCTCTGGGTTGAATAAAGAACCAACCAGACCCAGAAACAAAAATGCTTATTAGATGCATGTTTTCTACCACAAAACAAGACATTTTATAAGCATTTCCCTGAAACTTCCAGAGAGACAGACTCTCAAATGTCCTAACATGGTTACTAAATGGAAATTAGGTTTTTAACCTCAATAACAACAACTCTGATGTGAAACATGTCATTTATATTATTCACGTGCTATCTTTATTTTGGTAAATGTGAGACAGCATGATTTCCCAACCTTGGTTTTCAAGCCTCTTGCATTAGTGTTAGGTTACTCAGTCATAGGTGTTCTCCATGAGCTTTGCAGGACAAAACACGGTTCCAAGGGAGATGGTTCCTTTTCTTCTATTACCAATGACCTGCTTTTAAGAAAAAAAAATTATTTAGATTAATAGTGTATGCATTTGCTAAGAATGTATTTTTTAATTGAAAACACGAAAACCCTCACCATCTGAAGTTTAACATTTACATTTATGCTTCTAAATCTCTGGATTGTAGTATCTTGGCAACTGAGTAGAGTTCTGCACCTGTTTCCCATTTTAGACACTGAGTTCCTTGAGAAAACAGGTTCAGTGTCTCTTTATCTCTGATAAATAGTAGATACTTAGTTACTTGTTGAATTAAAATAGCTATGTAGTTTTAATTTAGGTTTAGAGTAAGTAAACATTTCTACCAGGTTTTCTTAGAAAACTCCTTTTAACCTAATGTCATTGTAGCACAAAAATTAATTGAGTTTGGGGTATTTCATGTGTGCTGCAGGGGTGGGGTCCCTAAGACCACCAATTCATTTAATGATTGATTTATATTCAGAGCTAAGATTTACTGCAATGAAAGGATGCATGACTGGATCAGCAAGGGGAAAGATACAGGCAGTCTGGAGAAATGCACAGTCTTTCAGTGCTCCTTCCTGTGAGGGAGGGGGCACCAAGAATGGGAAAAGTGCAGTAATGGGTGATTTTTCTGCCCAGGGAAGCCCAGTAGAGACTCAGTGTCCAAGGTTTTTTTGAAAGCTGATCATATAGGCACCCTCCTGCCAGCTGTCAACCAGATTCCCTGACCTGGCTGGTGTGGCTCAGCGGTTGGAGCATCGGCCCTCACACCGAAGGGTCTCAGTTTCAATTCCCAGGTCAAGGGCATGCACCTGGGTCCAGGTTGGAGCCTGATCCCTGGCCCCTGTTGGGGCATGTTTGGGAGGCAACCAATTGAATTCTCTATCTCACATGGATGTTTTTCTCTCTCTCCCTCCCCTTCCCCACTTAAAAAAAAAACAATGGAAAAATATCCTCGGGTGAAGGTTAACAACTACAACAACAAAAAAACAATGAAAACAAACCAGACACCCTGAAGGAAAACAGCATAACTCACCGTGTTTGCACAAATAGCCTAACCCTATCAGTTAGTGAATGGCTCAGGTGCCAGGTTCTCAACTAAGAGTCAAGGACTAACATGGCAAGCGGGCCTTTGTAAAGACAGCCTCAGGTCTGCTATGTTAATCCAGTTCTGCACAGTATAAAGGCCAATTTCTTTTTTTTTTTTAATTATTCAAAATTTGCTTTATTTTTTATAAATATCTTAGGAAGCTGGGCAGACATTAGCGTATTCCTATTTCAGAATTGAGGAAACTAAGGCTGGGTGAGGTCCTCACAAAAAAGGAAGCACCAGAGTCAAGACTGATGCCCCAACCTTATTTTTTAAAGTCCTACACTCTGCCTACTTATTTATTCACTGGTGTGATTGAGATGGGACCCAAAGGGGGTATAAATGATCCAAGGGCAACTACTCACAGCATCAGAGGGACATTAAAACTGGCTTTTGACTTGGTATTTGCACCCGGTTATATTCCATTTTCATTTTCTATCCAGATGTTTAGCACAGCTATGGTCTCAATCAGGACCAAGTGATACTTTGCAGGAATTACTGAAATGCTCATTGAAAAACTATTCTAATTGTGTTATTCCCTCAGCTTTATTGAGATAAAATTTACACATAATAATGTATAAGTTTAAGGTGTACAGCACTGATTTGATACACTTATGTGTTGCAAAATTATTGCCACCATAGCATTAAATAACACCTGCATTCCATATTCTCCACTTCTTTTTTCTGGTGGGAATATTTAAGATCTACTTTCTTAGCAACATTCAAGCATATGATACAGTATTATTAACTGTAATTACTGTCAAAAATTCAGAAATAACCAAAGTAAAACCAGTGAATTACTGAAATAGTAATGAGTAAAAGTTTATTGTACACACACCAGAATGACAGTCTGCAAACTGGGAACACTTAACCAGAAATATGGATTGAGGCTCGGGTATATTATTGTAAAGCAACTTATTTAGTAAGAAAACAGTGACTGTTCTTCACAGTGATTGGTTATAATAGAATTTTCTGTGGTTATCTCATATCAGCCTTGGGAAACATTTCAAGTTTTGTTTATGATTTCCAGAGGCATAAGCAATAGAGAACCCAGTCAGCTTAGTCTTGCAAAATAAGCTCAATTGAGCTGCATTTGAATGACTAAACTGTTTTTGTCTGCTCAGGGAAAGTTCAAGGCTGGTCTCCATCTGTTTATTTTAATGTCACCATGCTGTACATTAGATCCTCAAACTTGTTAATCTTATAACTGGAAGTTTATACTCTTTGACCAATGTCTCCCTATTTCCCCCATCTCCCTCCCGACTCCTGGTAACTATCACTCTACTCTGTTTCTCTGAGTTTGACTCTTAGGTTCCATATATAAGTGAGATTATATGGTATTTGTCTTTCTCTTTCTGACTTACTTCACTTAGCATGATGCCTTCTTGATGTTGTCAAGAATGGCAAGATTTCATTCATTTTTATGGCTGAATGATATATGTATATACCACATTTTACCCAATTATCCATGGATGAACACCAAGGTTTTTTCATATCTTGACTACTGTGAGTAATGCTGCGATGAACAGGGAAGTGCAGCTATTTCTATGAGATCCTGATTTTAATTTCTTTTGATATAAACCCAGGAGTGAGATTGCTGGATCATCAGATAGTTCTAGCTATAATTATTTGAAGAACCCCTATACTTGTTTTCTATAGTGGCTGTACCAATTTGCTGAATGCCAGTTTTCATTCACAGTAATAATGAGCTGTCCTTGTTAGTTTTAGAATTGATTTGTTCTTAAGCAGCAAACATCTATTACCACTTAAGATTTTTTTCAGAAAGTATCATTGAAAAATCTCTGGATAGTCTCCTTAAATGTTTCAATAAAAATTTTGTTGTCAAATACAAAACTGACGGGAGTCCTAACAAAAATATCATAGAGGAATTTTTATCCAGTATCTTTCCTAGAGCAAAAAATATTCTAAAATTATTCATCATCATGAAATACAATTAATTTACCTTGCCACTTGATCTAGAAATGTTATTCTCACAAAAGAAACACACTAGTATTAAAATTTTAGTTTGAAGACACTGTGTGCCTATTCCTTGAGTTAAACTGTGCACATTTATTGTTTAAGAAAAGGGTACCTTGTTCTACTCACCACTGAAATCATGCCTTATCTAAGATTTATTTTTTAGTTGAGTTCTATTTCCCTTTGATAATTATATTGCTAACTTTTACTGTAATTTTTATGAGGATGTTTATAAATAGCTGACATTTTTTACAGGCTGTGATTACATTCCCTGTTATGCAGTGTTGGAGTGGTGTCCTTGCGGTGTCTGCATTAGCATAATAAACTCATTTTCTCACGTCGTTTCCTTGTGGCCGCAGGAGCTTGACCTTGACTTACTTATTTTGAGCCATTTTATCTCAGTTCTCACATGAATATTGTTAAAAAGACTGTTAGGTTCGGATCCAAAAACTGAACTACACAGAATTTCACAAAGTCACTGAAAACTTGGATTAGTGTTTATACTTGTGAGTTGTGACTGTTTGACTAAGAATAGTGTTGCTGTTGTGATTTTAGAATCTAGATAGCCCCAGGTTTTGCTTGTAGAATTATGGGGGTAGTATTACCCAAAAAAAAGGGAAGACTTTTTGTATCGTATTGTTTAACAGTAAAGTATAACATGTTCAAATGGCATGTTTGTTAGAAGTGGCATTTTCCCTTTGTTATTTAGTAAAAAGGAACCACTTGCTCTTTTTCAAGGTGTGATGGGTGCAGTGGTGGCTCCTCTGACGATATTAGGGGGGCCTCTTCTCATCAGAGCTGCGTGGTACACGGCAGGCATCGTTGGCGGCCTCTCCACTGTGGCCATGTGTGCACCCAGTGAGAAGTTTCTGAACATGGGAGCACCCCTGGGAGTGGGCCTGGGCCTCGTCTTTGTGTCCTCACTGGGTAAGCCACTGTGCTTTGACGGTCCTTGGTTCACGATGTGCCAAAAGTATCTTATGTACTCAGGTATCCTACTGGAGGGAAAATATTTAGTCATTTTAAAAAATTGTTTAAAAGATTGGTGCTAATTAACTGGATTTTCTTATTTGACATCATAGCAAATCATTACTGTTGGTTTTACCAAATTAATCTAAAATGGCAAAGTTGGTCTGGAGGACATGAAAATTGCTCTGATGCAAGAGCCTTCCTGTAATGTGGTCAAGTGACTCTTTGCGGGAATGAGTATCATGGGTTTTGAATTGAATAAAATTAGACCATGCATATACTCAGATGTTTTCTTGTCTGTGCAGTATACCAAAGAAAAATTTTAAAAGTAGCATTAATTATAAATAAAGTTATAGAAAAGTCCCTTTTTTAAAAAGAACTTTTTATCCCATTTTGATTTCAGGATCTATGTTTCTTCCACCTACCACTGTGGCTGGTGCCACTCTGTACTCGGTGGCAATTTATGGTGGATTAGCTCTTTTCAGCATGTTCCTCCTGTATGACACGCAGAAAGTAATCAAGCGTGCAGAAATAGTACCAGTGTATGGAGTTCACAAATATGACCCCATCAATTCGTAAGTAACCTTTATATCTTCGTTACAAAGACATTTGCTTTATTTTGTCTTATTTTGTTTTATGGCTATATTCATTTCTTAAGGCTGCCATAACAGATTATACAGACTGGGTGGTTTAAAACAACAGAGATTTATTCCTTACAATTCTGGAGGCCAGAAGCAAAGGTGTCCTCAGGGTTGGTACCTTCCGAGGGCTCTGAGGGAGATCTGTTCCATTCCCCTCCTGGCTTCTCGTTACAGCCAGCATTCCTTGGTTGTAGATACATCACTCTAATCTACCCCTGTGTCTGTCTGTTCTCTTATGAGGACGGGGGTCATATTTGATTAAGGCCCACCCTCTTTAGTTTTCATCTTAACTCACATCTTAATTATATTTGCAAAGATCCTGTTCCCAAATAAGGTCCCATTCATAGGTAACCACAGATTAGGACTTCAACATATCTTTGAATTCAACCCACAACAGTGGCTTTGTCAAATTTTACTATTTTATTTCTTTTGCTGTTTGGTCTGTTCTCTCTCTCTAAGCTGTGTATCCATGGAAATTTGATTATATTGAAGCTAAGTAATATTTAGTTAATTAAGAATATTTTTAATTAGCCTTATGGTGTTCTTGTTGGTCAGTTTATTCATTTAACAGACTTTAGAACTGAAGAAAAGAGGTATTAGTAGGATATTCATTGGAAAGTGTAAATAATTGACTTAAAATGTTTAATAGAAAAGCCTGTTTTATTAAACATTAGAAACACCTTAGTATGAAATTTTAATTTTGGAGATACTCAGATTTAACTGATAATAAGTGTTATATAATAATGCTTTTTTTCTTTTCTTGGCATCTCCACCAAAGTAGGTTATTTTATTTAAACAATTTTGTTGAGTTTCATAGTGTTACCACATTTTTTAAAGTAATTTGTTCTTTTTCTTTTTAAAAAAACTATTTATTGGGGTGACACTGGTTAATAAGAACATAGAGGTTTCAAGTGTACATTTTTATGATACATGATCTGTTTATTGCATTGTGTGCCTATCAACCAAAGTAAAATCATCTCCTTTCACCATATATTTGGCCCCCTTTACCCTCTACCATCCCTCACCCCTTCCCTATAATAACCAACATATCATTATCTGTCTGTGTCTCGGTTCAGTTTTGGTTTTTTAGGGGGGGGGTTGGATTTTTGAGAGTATCATTTTGGTCTCAAGGTAAGGAAAGGTGTTTTTATTTTTAAAATATATCTTTATTGATTTCAGAGAGAGGAAGGTGGGAGAGGGAGGGAGAAAAACATTAATGATGAGAGAGTCATTGATTGGCTGCTTCCTGCACGCCCCTCACTAGGGATCAAGCTCACAAACCAGGCATGTGCCCTGACCGGGAGTCGAGTTGGAGTCGAGCGCGATCTCCTAGATCATAGGTAGTTGCTCAGCCACTGAGCCATGCCGGCCAGGCTCTGAGTTTCAGCTTTATATCCTACATATGAGTGAAATCATGTGGTTCTTCACTTTTTCTGACTGACTTATTTCACTTAACATATTATTCAAAAGGTCCATTCATGTTGTCACAAATGGCAGTATTTCATCTTTTCTTATGGCTGCGGGTATTCCACTGTGTACATGTCCCACAGCTTCTTTATCCTGTCCTACATCGCAGAACACTTGGGTTATCTCCATGTCTTGGCCACTGTGAATAATGCTGCAATGAACATAGGAGTGCATATATCTTTATGAATAAATGTTTTTGAGTAGATAACCAGAAGAGGGATTGCTGGGTCATATGGTAACTCTGTTCTTAATTTTTTGAGGAACCGCCAGACTGCTCTCCATAGTGGCTGTACATTCCCAGCAGCAGTGAGTGAGGGTTCCTTTTCCTCCACAGCCTCTCCAACACTTGTTAATTACCTATATTGTTGATAACAGCCACTCTAACAAGTGTGAGGTGGTATCTCATTGTAGTTTTTATTTGCATTTCTCTAATAGCTAGTGGAAGCTGATCATCTTTTCATACATCTTTTGGCCTTTTGTATGTCTTCTTGGGAGAGGTGTCTGTTCAGGTCCTCTGCCCATTTTTCAGTTGGATTGTTTGGTGTCTCCATGTACAAAAATTAATTCAGAATGGATCAAAGACCTAAATATAAGATCTGAAACAGTAAGGTACATAGAAAAAAACTGATACTAAATTTATAGACCTTGGTTATAGAGAATATTTTATGAATTTGACCCCAAAGGCAAGGGAAGGAAAGGCAAAAATAAATGAATGGGACTATATGAAACTAAAGAGCTTCTGCACAGCCAAAGCAAAACAAAACAAGAAGGCAGCCAACCAAATGGGAGATGATATTTGCAAACAGCAATTCACACAATGGATTAATATGCACAATATGTAAAGAACTCATACAACTCATTTTCTTTCTTTAAAAATGTAATTGTTTTTAAAATGCTGCTATAATGCTTACTGATGTGTAGGAATTTCTTTGTGTGGGTGAAGTGGGGGTAGGTAGGGCATTAAGGGGGTATATTATATTTAAAAATGCCAGATTTTTGTCTAACACATTTTTGTAAAGGTGGTTCTTTGGTTTTGTTTTGATTCTTGTATTGTCTAGCACCCATTTTCCCCCACAAGAAACTATACTTATAGTAGAGTGTTAGGGGATAGAATAATGATTTTTAAACTGCTCTTTACCATTTCAAAGATTAATGTGCCAGAAGAAAATCTTGACTGTTTTGTCTGGAACTTCCTTAGTTGGCATCTTGTTTTTTTAAAATTTCCATCTTCTATACCTAGTACAAAAAATTAGTATTGCTTTTTTTTCTTTTCTAGATTAAGAAATAGTTTTTATCATTGTTATTAGAATTACATCATATTTAAATGGGCATTATTTTCCTTTCTAGGATGCTGGGAATCTACATGGATACATTAAATATATTTATGCGAGTTGCCAGTATGCTAGCAACTGGAAGCAACAGAAAGAAGTGAAGTGATTTTGCTTCTGACATCCTGAATGTATCAGACACCTCGCTTGTCCAGTAGGGGCAGGTATTCACTAAGTAGTGTGTTCCAGCAGCTTCTGTGGAAGGTGGAATGTAGAATTTGTCATCCTGTTTGAAATGTCCCAGTAATGTGATGCTTCTGGGGAATAAATTCAGTAGTTCTCTGCCAAATAAGCACACACGTTCAGTTCTCGTCTTTGAGTAATTCTGAAATGTTTTAATGAATGTGAACACTGAGGTTTGTGTTGTGAGAATTTAAGTGTTTTTTAATTTTTTTGGTTAAGTGAAAATTAGCAAGCTTGTGTTTACCTGTATATATTTTGGAATGCAGAATACTAACAAGTAATGTCATGAGTGGATAGAGGTTTGGTATAGGGACCACAGAGAAGGAAAGGGTCACCTACAGTCTTTCCTTGAACACCAACTTTAGGACTTGGTATTTGGAAACAGATCATCACTTTATACATTTGTCTGCTGAACTTATCAAAAGCAATGAGCACAAAACAAAGATATAGGTGATACATTTTCCTGCTGTTCCTTTTCAGTTCTTTTTACAGTGTAGGTGTGATCATGTTTGACATTGTTAGGACACTCCAGAATTTAAATCATATGGAGAGTTCCTGATACATGACATGTGTGTGTAAGTTTTACTTTTGAATATTCTAGAACAAATTATTCCTTAAAATTCCTTCTCAGGATAAAATATTCAAAGAATAGAAACAATATGTTCATAATTGCTGAATTTTTGCATATTTATTGAAATGTTTAATAGAATATGTGCTTGCTTTTCTCATCTCTTCAACCTTTGAAACTTTCATTAGAAAAGCCTGTTTGTGCCTTACACTAGACACATGAAAGCAGTTTTTCTCCTGAAACTTGGTTGCTTGTGTTCCCTCTCAGACAAAGCACTAAAAAAGGGGAAGCATGGCTGCTCTTCCTTCATGGACTGTATCAATCAGAATCGTGATGGGCAGGACGCTTCATTAGGGTGTCCTCGCACGATTTTCCTTCTTTCCTGCATAGACCGTTGCTTAACTCTTCTGACATTTGTATTTTGATAAGAGTTATTTTTGGTACATGGGATGCTAACTTTTGAAATATTAAAGGTTCCAGCCAGATGGTGATTGGTCTGTAATTTTTCCAGCCAAACCATATGCATATCATTTGAATAGGAGATTTGTTCAAGAAAGGAGCTTATTCTCTTACCAGTATAGTATATGTGGTGCAGTGTGATTATGACTGTGGTCCTTAGAGCTAGACTGCCTTTATTTGAACCCCAGCTCTTCCACTTCTTTTTTATGTGACCGAGGCCTTCCTTCTCTGTGCCTGTTTTCTCATCTCTAAAATGAGGGTGAGAGCAGAACCTACCTGAAGGTGAAATGAACTGCCACTTAGTAAACACTATGGAAGTTTTAGCCACTCTTGCTGGTCTGTTTTGGGTTTTTCCCCCTAAGAAAAGTCTAAGTGTCAAACTTCTATTTTTTTCCTACTTTAGCACAATGTTGGTGTGACCTTAAAGTGAAATCTTAAAGGTCCTTTTGTCTTCAGTCACATTTTGAAACCCAAAGTTTATATCTTTATGTTTGGATGGTATTACACACAAAAAACAAAATTATATAATTTCAAGCATGAGTATTAGGTAGAAGCTTATCTAGAAAATCAAGGGTGTTTGTTCTGTTTTTTTAATTTAATGACTGAGTATTTTAATTTTTTCTGACTGCTAAGACAGTGAAGACTTTTCAATTAAAAGTTACATAAAATGTGAATACTTGTAAAATAGTATACTAGATCTTCAGTAATACAAAAATAATTATTGGTTTTTTGGCTCCTTTAACATACCACTGGGATTTATTCCCTCACATCACTCAAGGAAGAGTGGAGGCCTGCAAATTGATAGTTTTAGGCAAGAAAAATATATCCATTTCTCATTTTCTAAAACATTATCTGAAGTGTTAGAAGATAACTGAGATGTGTTAAAAATAATCACACAGGGAGTGGAAACAAGATGGCGGTGTAGGTAACAGCTGTACCCACCGCCTCCCACAACCACATCAAAATTACAACTAAAACAGAACAATCATCACTCAGAACCCTGAAATCTGGCTGAACAGAAGCCCCACAACCACGGATCTGAAGAAGCATGGAGACCAGTAGAAGGTGCAGAGATGTGAGCGGATCGGGGATGGATCCCGGAGACGCGGCCGCGGGCCCACATCCGGTGCCATGGCTTAAACCCGGGAGGGACATCTCAGTGGTGGAGGTTTCCCGGAGGAGTGAGGGGTCCTAGCCCCACATCAGGCCCCCCAGCCCAGGGTCCCAGGGCCAAGAAGAGAAGACCCCACAACTTCGGGCTGTGAAAACCAGCGGGGACTGTCCCTGAGGGTCGCGGAGGGTGTGGGAGCCCCAGGCAGCTCCTCCTAAAGGACCTGCACACGGACTCACTCAAACATGCTCCCTCTGAGCCCCAGCACCGGGCAGCAGCTTGAAGGAACCTGGGACGCTTGAGGAGGAGCTAACCTGTCTGAAATTGGGGCGAGAGCTGGAGGGGCAGCTTTTTCCCAGACAGAGGAGCTGGCAGAGGCCACTGCTCCTTTGGCAATTCCTCCCCCACAGAGCCAGCAGGCAGGCACCATATTGGAATCTCCAGCATCTGACTCACACCTACCCCCCCCCTTGATTCCCTGAGGCCCCGTCCCTCCCCACCTGCAAGTTCATCCAAGCCATTTCCAGTGGTGCTTCTGTGCAAGTGGCTTCTCAAGCCTCATGCTTAGGACTTTCCAAAAATATCTCAAACAAACAGCAGCTTGCCCCATTCGGCTTGATAAGTGGCCCCAGGCTTCACCCTAGTGGCAGCTGCATTGGTTCATAGCTTAGCCTCTCCTGCACACCTCCAAGCCCAGCACAAGTAGCAGCCAACTACACAGTTTGCTGTGTAGCTCATGCTGGATGGCCCTGGGCAAGGCACTGGCACAGGCTGACTTTGCACCTCCTGGGAGGCCCCAAAGACAGTGCACCTGGTGATCAGACTCGACCATGCTGGATTACAACCCTACCACATCCACGGGTGACACTCAAGGGGCGTACTTGGTGAACACCAAAGCCCCACTGAAGCAAATCCTGCTCCATAGGGGTGTCTCCATCACAGCAGTTCTCTGGCTGTAGTTGTAGCTGGTCCTCACAGCCAATTGGCCTGGGAGTCAGTTCCTCCCAGTGATGCCAACAGCAACCAAGGCTCAACTACAACAGGACAGAGCACAGCCCACACAGGGGAGCACCTAGAAGGCCCAGCTCAGGTGACTAGGGAGGCTGAGCCACTGGACCCTACAGGATACCTACTACACAAAGCCACTCTACCAGTTCCAGGAGACATAGCAGCTCTACCTGATACATAGAAACACTTGGAAGCAGCCAAAATGTGGAGGCAAAGAAACATGTCACAAAGGAAAGAACAAGAAATCTCTAGAAGAGGAACTGAATGAAATAGACCTAAGCAAGCTAACAGATACAGAGTTCAGAATTTTGTTTATAAGGATGCTCAAGCATATTGTTACGAAAGCAACTGAGAAAATTGATGACATAATAAAGTACCAATTTGAAATGAAGACTACACGAACTGAAATAAAGAACTTACAGGGAATCAACAGCAGAGTAGAGGACGCTGAGAATCAAATCAGCAATTTGGAACATGAGGAAACAAAAAATACCCAACCAGAAGAGCAAAAAAGAAAAAGAATCCAGAAATATGAAGATAGTATAAGGAACCTCTGGGACAACTTCAAGAGGCCCAACATGCGTATTATTGGGGTGCCAGAAGGGGAAGAAAGAGAGCAAGAAATTGAAAACCTATTTGAAGAAAAAATTACAGAAAACTTCCCCGACCTGGAAAAAGAAATAGTCTTGCAAGTCCAGGAAGCACAGAGGGTCCCAAATGAGAGGAGCCCAAAGAGACCCACAGCAAGACACATCATAATTAAAATGCCAAAGGTTATAGACAAAGAATCTTAAAAGCAGCGAGAGAAAAGTTACCTACAAGGGAGCTCCCACAACTGTCAGCTGATTTCTCAACAGAAACTTTGCAGGCCAGAGGGAGTGGCAAGAAATATTCAAAGTGATGAAAAACATGGAACTACAACCAAGATTGCTCTACCCAGCAAAGATACCATTTAGAATTGAAGGTCAGATAAAGAGCTTCACAGATAAGAAAAAGCTAAAGGAGTTCATCACCACCAGACCAGCACTACAGGAAATGTTGAAGGGTCTTCTTTAAGAAGAAGCTAATGAACAGAAGAATCTGATGAACTAAATAGATCCAGAGACACTGATGCATGCAACAGACGGTCATATTTCAGAGGAAAGAGGGAAGGGGTGTGGAGGGTGGGAAGAAATTAACCAAAGAAGTTATATGCATATGTGCATAACCCATGGACACAGTCAATAATGGGGTGAAGGCCTGGGGAGGGGGTGGCATAGACACAGTCAATAATGGGGTGAAGGCCTGGGGAGGGGGTGGGAGTGAAGTGGAGGGGGTCAGTTGGGAAAAAATGGGACACCTGTAATACTTTGAACAATAAAGATAAAAAATAATAGCAATTACACAAAAAAGTAAAGGCCTTTTAGTTTACCTAGAATGGTATCTAATGAACATTCAATCAGAAAACATGAGTGTCTAACAAGTCGGTACCAGGCTGGCTGGACCCAGGGGAGATGAATAAAAATTCCCTTCTAAAGAGTAGCACCCCCGTGTAAACAACCATAGTCCATTGTGAAGAGTGTCACTATGAGAAGTGAACAAAGGAATAAGTTTCCAAGATGTCCCAGGAGGAAGTCTTCAAGTAAATACAGTAGTTACAGTCCACAGAAATATGGGCGTCTTCACAGGCAGAAGTATGATGGAGGAAAAGTAGGGATGTGGAGAAAGGTGGCAAGAAACGAGCAGTTTCCTTGGAGCCTAGTTTCCTGCTCACAACAGGTTTGTGTTCTGTGCTTAGAACACAGGACCCTTGGGTATTTTCTGTGCTCTTTAATATGTTAGAATCATGTTTTTCTTAAAATTGTTCCTCTGAATAGAGTGTGTCCACATTAGAGTTCCTGAAACTAAGTGGTACCCAAGATTTGTGTCAGTCCAGTGAGGTAGGAGGATCCAGATAGGCTAATGATTGGATTGATATATTTTTTTGTATTGTGTGCTAAGCCCTTTGCACAAGTGATAACCTCCTTTGAGCCAGGCACTGCTGTCTTCATTTTGCAGAGGGGTAAACTGAAGCCCACGTTTAAGTTTTGCACACGATCCTGTGGCTGGGAAGGAGAAAGTGGTAAAGCTGAGCGATCCTCCTAACCCGTTATACTGGGATGTTTGTGATTTCCGCCACAGGGCTAAAATCCTGTATGAGAATCAGAAGCACTGTACCAGTTAAACAGGCAGGTTTGGGGATTCTGCTGAACATACCTAGAACATTAGAATTTTAGTTTTTATCAGAAGGAATTGACCTCAGTCAAATGATGATCATGTTCTACTTCCCCAGGTCCTGTTTTTTATGTAGAGTACCAGAAAGTCCCAGTCCACTTACAGCTACAAATGAGGCCATTTCTTTAAGGTCAGTGTAATCAGTAAGATGGACTCCTCCCTAAATGTGCTCAATTTAGCTGTCACTCAAAATTGGAAGCCAATTTTCAGGAAACGGAAGCTATGTGTGACCTGAGGACTTGGTGTTCTACATAGCAAGCAGTTCAGGAAGATGGAGGAAGTTCCACAGTATTAACACTTGAAAACAACAAAAGGAGCATTTTGTGTCAGAAGCAAAGTTGAAATCAAAAGTCTGATGGGGGTGGGGATAATGTGGACCATTCTGGCCAGGATCTCACAGGGCTGCTGGCCACTCAGCATGAGGGCAGGCCCAGCAGTGTCTTCCCAGCCTCCGCGTTCATTCTGCCTTGTTCACAGTGTGTGCTGGTCTGGCACCTAGTGAGGTGTCAGTCCTCCCAGGGGCCTCTCCACCTCCACCTTTCAGCTCAGAGGTCAATGGGTGGTGGGGTGTTAAAAGCCTTATTGGATGCAGTGGGGAGCTCCTGAGTCCCTGGGCTACACCCAGAAATACAGATTGATATTTTCTGGCAGGACCAAATAGACATTTTTTCTTACAAGTGGGCATACAAGTCTAGAAACAATTTTTAAACATTTTTTTAAAAAGTGTTCTTCACTGAGCACTTTGTAAAAGCTACCCGATCACCTGTAAGTATGGGGCAGCTGGCCATCATTCCTCCAGAATATCCTTACATGTGTCTGGAACACAACCACTCGTCTCTGTACCCCAGTGTGGTTTTGCACAGTCACAGCTTGCTGAAATTAGGTCCATATGGCAATGTTATAGGAAGGGTGTTACATGTTTTAGTTTCATTCAGTCATGTTACCTCTGTGCTAAGATGCAGTATTTATTTTTCATGCTTTATTTCTGAAATGTTGGTTACAGTTTCATGATTTTTTTTTTTTTTTTGCAAAATGAAATAACACATCTTAAAAGCAGTGCCATTTTAGAATTGAAGAAAAATGGTGTTTTCCGGTGATTTGTTTTCCATAATTTCCCAGTAGTTAATTGTCCTGTAAGAACTGGTATCTAAAAGATAATCTTTTGGTAATTGTCGGTAACAACTGAGGTTTACCGATGATTCAGGGGGAATCTTTCACAAGAACGTACAAACCCGGCCCTACCCAGTTATGTACTCATAAGGGTTGAGTGCAGAATGACTCGCACACAGGAAGACCTGTGTGGAAGCTGAGAGCAGGAGTGGTTCTGTCTGAGCTACAGTCATGGGAAGAGGAAGGGCTTGCTAGGTTGTTTCAGCCGGATGCCCTGAAGGAATTAACTCTCCTCACCAGCTGTGGGGAGAGACGAGGATGAACCCCCTTTCTGCCCTCCTGTCCTGCGCCATTGCCTGGCTAGAAACAGGCGAGTCTAGAAGACGGCCTCTGGTGGGCAGAGGCAGTGAGTGCAGCCAGCAGAGATCCAATGGTGAGAGAAGGGTGGGGGGCAGCTAGCTGACCATAGAGCAGGGCATGCTGGGGTCAGAAGCCCTTACTCTAGGTGGGGAATTTGGGGTCCAAACATGTCGATCACCATGTCACTAAGAGATCAAGTCAACAGGTACATATTCGGTTGTGTATCAGATACCACACACAATGTGAGAAATAGCAACAAAAGACCCAAGGTAATTATGAAATATAGAAACTGCAAAAGACTAGTTGCTACAGGAGTTTAGAAAAAGGGGACAGTTAGGCCAAATGCCCACAGGAACACAGGTGTCCTACACACCCCAGCACCGAAGGGTTGGTGACCAGGGGCTTTCTGCTTGGTGGGAAGGGGATGTCTGGGACACCCCCACGTCGCGGGAAGTATGACCACTTTGCAGAGGTCCCAGTCTTTGCTTACAAACCAGATGTGTGTGTGACTCTGCTTGTGTGCTCACAGTTAACGTCACTCTCACCATACTAGGTGCCTCAGAAAAGGTATGCATGTGATCACCTACGTCACTTAAGTCATTTTAAAAGAAGTTGGAAAAATTATGACAAGATCTTCACTGTTAATCGTAAGTGGCAGAAAAAATGGGCATTTGGTAGGAAGATGAGGTATTTGGTATCTTTTTCAGTATTTATAGCTGCCCCCAAGTAACTTTTTACAAGGAAAGTACATATGGAGAGAAGGTACATTGAAACACACTTTTTGAAAGACCCAGGAAAGCAGAACATCTCTCTACCCTCTGGCCTTTCCACATCTCATCTCTGAGTGGAACTGGACCCAGAGCCTTCAAGATCCTTACAGTCCTGACATGCTTTTTGCAATGACAACAGGGTTGAAGTTTCCACGGGACTGCAGAGCCCTGGCTGCACCTCACACGTCCGCCCTGTCCTGGTGGTGCTAGGTGTGAGGGTGGTAATATGGAAAGCGGACACCTCTTTTTCTGGGAAGCCTGCTGTCAAACTGGAAAGAACACACAAGTTCCATCCAGTCCTACCTGTGATTCTCCAGCTCTGAGGGCTGGCAAAAGACCTTGGCATTCCCCTTCTCCCTACCGCCCAAGTCTCTCTCACTTGCCCTGCTGGTCCATCCACCCTTCTCCATCAAAATCCACATTTGTGAATGGAGCTGTATCAGTCATTTAGACCTGAATTTTAGTGTGGATTTTTTGGGGTCCTGAATTGTATCAAGAAGACCCAGTCGTTCTACATTAAAGAAGCACCATTCATCCTTGAACCCAAGTGGGAAGTTGCTATTTTTTGGAGACAGGTTGCTGTAGAAAAGATTGAAAGCTATGCACCCCACTTCTAGCAGTCGAGCACCTAATATAACAAAAAATTATCTTCAGATAAGGCACTTTAGCATTACACTCACCAAAAGGATCTGTTCCTCTCTAGCTTCAGCTATTGTTTTAATGAGGAACAGAAACTCAGAAAAAGTTGAGCAACTTCTGGGTCACACAGCTAAAACATGGTGCTCCGATTATGTTACAGGCAGCCCAGAGACCCCAGAAAAGGTTATCCAACAGCCCTGAGTCAGAAGGAGAGACCTGCCCCCATCCCAGTTATTGTCAGCTGGTATACATGAATTTAAACAAGTGACTCTAGATTGCATTGCGCTAAAGCCAATTTATTAAAGCAATTGAAGCAGGCACATTTATTAAAGAAGCAAGGCAAGCAGGTCTGTACATCTGGTTTATGAAGCACAGACAGGCTCTCGGCTAATCTGAAGAGCAAGTTAGGTAGGGATTTGAGGTGTTACATACTCTCCTGTCTATAGGTTTCAAAATCCCCCTGCTGAATATCTTGGTACAGATTAATTCTTTTTTTTCTTTTTTCTAAATATATCTTTATTGATTTCAGAGAGAGGAAAGGAGAGGGAGAGAGAGAGACAGAAACATCAATGATGAGAGAGTCATTGATCGAGCCCACAACCCGGGCATGTGCCCTGACCAGGAATCGAACCCTGATCGCCTGGATCCTGGGTCGACGTTCAACCGCTGAGCCACACCCGGCCGGGCAAATTCTTAAGGTCCCTTTTTACTTTCTTGTGTCCTTCCCAGAACTCAGGAGAAGCACCTGGCAATTTTATCTTGCCAGCCTTGAGACTGCTGGTTTCTCTGTTAGGAAGAAAAAATAAAACTGCCCTTTTCCTTTCCCCTTCCTCCCTCCTTTCCTGCATTCTCTCCTTAGGGAGGCTTTTAACCATTTGTTCTCAAGTGTCCTTGGCTGAGGAAGATAATGGCTTGTTATTTGCAGGCCAGCTGCAAATTGCCCACATTGTTTGGCCTTGTTTAATGTTCCTGTCTCAGTTTCCCTATTCCACTTGCCCTGGAATTTTCCTAACTTCTCACTGCCCTGTAACATAGCCTGGGTCAAGTGGCTCTAAAGCCTGTCCTTTTTAGAAGTGTTTGGAGGGTAGGGAGACAAAAGACCTGAGTCCCCCACTCCAGGCTAAAACCATGGGGTCAGTGTGAAGGTGTAGGGTTGAAAGGCCAGAAACTCCACAGAAGAGTAGAAAGCAGAAAACCAAGGCATTCAGGTAGTGGCCTCCCAGATGCTCCAGCACCAGCATGGGAGTGGCCACAGGCTAGAAAAGACAGCACCTTCTAGTCTCCCCAGGTGCCTTTGTGTCATGGAGGAGAAGGTACCATTCCAGCATGACCCTCAGGAGGAGCTCACAGTTATGGCTGTGGGTAGACAGCCCCACCCAGGGGATAGAGAGATGTGAATAACAGTGGGAGGGTGCACAACATCAGTGAGAACCAGCAAGGGCAGGGTGGAGGGAACAGACAGGGATTTACTGGCCTTGACTCCAGCAGCAGATACCCAGAGGCAGGCTGGAGGCTTCTGAGGAAGCTCAAATTAATTGCAAAAAATAGAGGAAGCCTTTAGTTTTTTGCATAATTTCAGGGTGGTGTGTAAGCTAAAATTAAGTGTTGTAGATTATTTTCAATCTCACAAGCTCTTGTGGAACCAGTGTCAGCAAAGAACCTCAGCTTTAGAGTCACACCTTGTTCTAAGTGAGAAGCTGCCTTAACGTTTCTTTGTGAGGCAAAGGAAAGTTCACTTTCCCTTGTTACAAGATGAAAATTAAATGCCTGGTCTCTGAGGCTGGGGAAGAATTCAATGAGAAAAGAATTGAAAGGTCACTGGAGTGATCACTGGAGTCTGACCCTTCCTTCTATTAAAAATTTATCTAGAGTTTCCTAAGCATATAAAGGAGGTGAGTCATTTCTGATCAATTACAGGGACCATAAAACACCCTTGGAAGAAGAGCATGGTGGCCAAGAGTGAAGGCAGGGACGCAGGCCAAAAATGATCTAACCTTAAAGGGTGGGGACACTTCAGGTATTTTCCTAACTGACCTTATAAATCACGTATTTGACTTGAAAATGTTTTCTTCCTTGTAAATTCCCGGTGTTTTTGTTAGGTGTGCCTCTGGAGACTTTCTCGGGAAGACTGCCAAATGTCAAAGTCATCTTTGGAAATTATTCAAAGCCTCAAACTTTATTATTTTTGTACCCAAACTACGTATGTTTAAAACGAACAGGTGTTCCTGTTAAAAATGCTTCTCATTTTCACCTCTCAGCTCAACATGAGATTTCAAATATGCTAAAGAGCCAGAAATGTTTCTTCCTTTTTCAAAGTAAGATGCTCAGCCCTCTGTCTGAAATGTTAAATACACAGATGGAAATCTGGGAACAGGGATTTCTGTGGGGAGGGGGGTTTTGGGTAGAACTTGCACTTTATACCCTGTGCTATAAAATTAATGCAGGCAGAGATTGCTTCAGTAATTTTTTATAAACATTTAAAAACAAGGGGAATTCTGACATCTGAATCTATCTTTCCCATCAAACACGTGGTCCCAGGAAGCTCTGCCTACCTGTGGACGGTGTATGTGATTGTGTAAGGAACAGACACCCTGAGATGGCCAGTTCTTCCTGCTCTTAGATCTTCAGTGCCCCATGGCTCTGTCCTATGGAGACAAAAAAGCTGTGTTGAAAACCTGACATCTATTTCTGACTCAGTGGCTGAGGGGCCTGCAAAAGTACCCAAGTCCTAGCTTAGCTGGACAGTGGAAGCAGACAAGTGATTCTTTTCACTGGCCAGAGAGTCTCTCCTAATTTCTATACCATAGAAATTAGAGTTCAAGTTTAAGATTTGACCTAATTGTCCCCCTCTCTACCAGGTAGGTTGTTCTTTTCCCCTCTGATAGTGATTTGCCAAAAGTAAAAAGAACCATGCCAATACAAAGAGTACCTGTTACAACAGGTAATGGGTGAGTGGCAGCCAAAGGTATGCTATGGCCCAGAGAACTTGGTGGTGGCACCCCACATTACCCCACATAAAAATAAATAAAATAGTGGCAATAATTCTTGATATAAGCCATGGATGTGACTCTAACCTCAGGAAGCACCTGTAACATGTAATTTAAGAACAGCCTACTGGCTGGCAGGTGCAGCCTCAAAACAAGTCCCACCCTCCTCCTGACCATCAACAACAGCAGCCCCCAAGTTTCTCCTGGGCACCAACTCAGCACAGCTATCAAGATTCAGAACACAGCTTGGAAAGGAAATCAGGCTGGGTGGGTGACTAACAGCATGACATTCAGTCCTCAAGCCCAGCAGCCCCAGCCTGTTTCTTTGTGTGGATTGGCTGTAAGATTTTTATAAACACCCAAAAGCATACAGACTGTCAAAATATTCCCTGGACACTGATTTGCTCACTGAGCTATCTGACAATGTCTAAATTGTTTCTCTAATCTCCAGCAACAGAGGAGGGCCAGTGAAGGGCACCATTGGCCAGTCTTGGGCAGCAGGAAATGTCTGAACTGGCTGCCAGGAAGCAGGGAGGCCCTGGAGGGCTGAAGCAGATGCCGCCATCTTCCCTCTAAGGCTGGAATAGAGCCTGTTCTTTGGTTAGAAGGGCACACTTATTAGGGCAAAGGACGGAAGGACATGATATCACAAAGGGAAATGCAAATTCTGTGTATCTGCATGGCTGCCTTCACTAAGAAAACAGTGTCTCCCGTGTCCCAAGGGCCAAGCACACAGCCTCGCCATGGTATATGTCCAGTGAACAGGTGACAACTGGGCCTCCTGCATCCATCACCAGGTAGATGGCTTCTCACACATGGCTTCTCATTTCACAGATTGGAAGTAGACTCAGAGACATTCAGCCAGCAGTTCAAGGTCAACTACTATGTTGCAGAGCAAAACCTCAAACCCAGGTTGTCTGGTTCCTGACCCTCTGCTCACTGCGTTTCACTCGTTGCTCAGTACTCTCCCCAGAGGCTTTGCAAAGGGTTTTGTGGCCCTCCTGACACATCTAAGGAATGAGCAGGAAGATTGTATTTGATGGAATTATTACTGACACTAAAAGTTAATGTTCAACCCTGGGAAGTGGCTCTTCCCTGGCAGAGTTTCCTGCTCTGACCCCCGCCCCAGGCCCCACTTGGAGCTCCTTGGACTGGGGCCTTTATAGCTCTGTTTACAGTTCACCAAAGGCTCTCAACTTCTTGAAAAGCTGGTTTTTTCCTTTTGGGAGGAGCTGACTCTACCCTATATAAGGATTTCAAGGTTGCTACTGCCCTGCCCATGTGGAAACACCTCTCCCAGTCATCCTGTAAAGGTCTGTGTCCTTCAGGGAGGACTTCTGTGGCACAGCTGCTTCGCCAGGACGTGAGATCCAGCCCCCACCATGAGGTTTCTGGTCCTCTCCAGCCTGCTCTGTGTGCTGCTGCTTTGCTTCTGCATCTTCTCCACGGAAGGTAGGGCTGTCCCCAGGGTGCTGGGCCAAGCGGGGATTTCAGGGTCGGCATCAGGAAATTTTGGAGGGCAGGCTCCTGGCAGACAGCCCTGAGCCCGTGAAACAGGCTCTTCCTCCTGAATCTATGTAGCACTTCACCCGCAGTGGTTGCACCGAGGGTGGCTTGGGGATTTCAATCCCATCATCTCTGTTCCCAGCCCTCCCGAAGGCACGTACAAGCTGAGTGGGAGCAGTGTGCTTCCCATGCGGACACACGGCCTCCCAGCTGGGTTGCTTCATGCACCTAACCCGACCCAGCCGGAACCTCGAGAGCCACCTTGCCATCTTGTGTCCTGCTTGAAGTACAGTAAATGTGTGCTGAGTAAATGAATAAATTCATTAATAGATTATCTGAGTCTGAACATCCCCAAAACTCATGCACAATAGACCCCTGTGGCAGATGGAATGAAAATGTGTCGTAGGGGCATGTTTGTGTGTGTTTAGAAGTGGGAGAGATGATCCTTGTACCTCTGTGGATATGAATATTTATCTCTCCTGCCTTTTTCGATCAGATAGCTGAGTATTTTGAGCTTTTTCTCTTGCCTAACCCTCTAGAAACTGCCTACATTTCTCCTTGTTTTAGTGGTTACAGTTATTTTAACACGTATTGGAGCTGAGGATAAAGTATAGGTGGGGTTGAAGACACTCGTCATTCCATGATGCAAGAATAGCCATGTTCAGCATTTTATTCTTTTCAGTATTGCATGCAAGCATATTTTGTAACTGATAAATCTCTGTATGTCAATGTTGTATCTTTTTTACTTATCAACTGCATCGTTATAAACTCACCAAAAGCATCTATGATTGGAATTCTTCTGGAAGCATTTATACCAGAATGTCAACAGCAATTATCTCTGAACAATAAGATTATAAGAAGTATTTGTTTTCTAAAGTTTCTGCAATGAACACTGCTGTATCTATACTATGGAAAGCAGTGATTGGGATTCCTCGTGAACACAGCCCACAGCCATGCAGACTCACCTCCGATCTCAACATGGGAGAGGCTGCCGCTGTTACCTTATTGATGGTTTAATGAAATGAATACCTTTACCCGTGAAGTGTCGTGTCCATTTGTTTAGCAGTATCTGCCAGATTCTCCAAAGTAGTGCCATTTAACTAATATTTTAGGTATAACTTGCCATCAGGTGAATGTGCTAGGGTGGATTTACACTCTCAGACATTTACATGGTTTACAACTTTGCACTATTTTAAGAATGTGTACATAAAATATTTTCTATATTTAGAATTACTAGGCCAGAATGTCAAGGGGAGAATCATGGTGTGTCAAAAGGCAGACACTTTTTAAAATATATCTTTATTGATTTCAGAGAGAGGAAAGGAGAGGGAGAGAGCTAGAAACATCAATGATGAGTCATTGATTGCCTGCAGCCCGCAACCTGGGCATGTGCCCTGACCGGGAATCTAACCCTGATCGCCTGGATCCTAGGTCGATGCTTAGCCGCTGAGCCACGCCTGGCCGGGCGAGGCAGACACTTTTTTTAAAAATATATCTTGATTGATTTCAGTGAGAGGAAGGGAGAGGGAGAGAGAGAGAGAAATATCAATGATGAGTCATTGATCGGCTGCCTCCTGCACGCCCCATACTGGGGATTGAGCCGCAACCAGGGCATGTGCCCTGACGGGGAATCGAACCGTGACCTCCTGGTTCGTAGGTCGATGCTCAACCGCTGATCCCTGCCAGCCGGGTGGCAGAAACACATTTGAGAGAACTGTTTCTCAGATAAGAATACGAGGAAGACACCCTGGGGGCAGAGAATCCCTCCACACCAACTTTGCTATTCCTGAAAAATAAATCACCTCAAGGTCCATGCTTCACCTGGGCCCTTCCATAGCCTGGCCCATCCTGAGCTTTCTTGAATAAATATTTCTGAACCCTGAGCCTTGAGAATTGAAGCTCATGGCAGTCATTTCTACACAGACCAACCTCATGGTGCCTCTGCCCCTCTGTCTACCCTCAGGAGGAAGGCATCCTGGGCATCCTGCCAGGCCCTGGAAAGGCAAGCGCTGCTGTTCCCAGGCTCCTGATCCTGTCCTGAAGACCCGCAAAGGTGAGCACTGCACCCTGCTGTGCAGAGGCAGGAGAGGTTCCGAGGAGGCCACAGATTGGCCCCTACAGTGCCTGGCACCCGGTGCTGGTATGGAGGAGCCCTAATCAGATGTGATCTCTGCCTCATGGAGCTTCTGGTCTAGTGGGAAAAACTGATCACACGCCTCCAAAGTCAACAAATTAATCATTGTGAACTGAATATGTTCCGTCAAAAGAAAGAACAGGATGCAGTTAGGAAACGGGGACAAAGAGGGAGGCGGGAGAGGGTGTGGCAGAGGAAGCACAGGCATGGGGGTCTGAGGTGCACAGGAGGCGGGCATGGAGGACAAAGGCTTGGGGTGTCGAGAGGTGCTCAGGGAAGCTAGGAACCCAGGCGGGCTGGTCTTGTGAGCTGGCACAAGAAGTCGAGTAGATGAGGCACACAGGTCCAGGGCCCAGAGGCACAGGCAGGCAGCAGAGCTGAACTCATGCCAGGGTGGGGTTTGGCAGAGCAGAGCTGCCTTCCCTCACAAGGCCTGGGGGTGACTGGGTAGTATGGGAGGCCCGCCCAGGGAGGGGCTGCAGGCACCCAGCTCCCAGCCCTGGAGCTCCGGACCAGGGACAGACTGATGTCTGGGAGTTGGCTGGCCCAGGGTGTGAGGGGAGGAGTGCTGGACCTCTCTGAGAGCCTGGGACAAGAGCAATCCTCAAGGGAGCTGTAGAGCCTGGAGCAAGCCAGGCCTGACTCAAACCCAGGGCTCCTTCCCCCCACTCTTTGCAGCCTAAGACCCCCTCTAGGGAATCTGAGAAGTCCCCAGCCCTACTGGATCTTCTGGGGCCATGCCCATGACCAGAACTGGGGCTTCCATAGCCTTCCCAGCTCCAAGAGCCCTGGGCATCAAGAGGCAGACTGAGTGGCACAACCTTAGGCCACTGCCATGGAGAAGGTGACAGCCCCTTCCTCCAAACTGGCCTCACATCCAGCTGGAGCTGGGTAAAAATAGCCCCATCGCACACACCTAGCCCAGGTGTGAGGCACCCTCCCAGCCTACAACTGGCTGCCTGCAACTCTGCTCCCACCTGAGGCCCAACCTAGGGGAGGAGGAGTGTTTCCATGAAATAAATAAGGCAGAACCAAACCACTCCCCTCTCCCAAACCACTCCTGGGGATGAGCTTGCTTAGAGGCAGGGACGAGGAAAGAGAGACAATGTGTGCACCGGTACATGCACAAGCACACAGTTCATGGGAAACAGTGCCACGGCAGTCACACCATACTTCAGAATAATCTGCATGCTTTGGATTTCTTTTAGTGTATATATATTTTAAATTCCACTGCAGAAATCTGCCAACTACTTAGAAAAAGAAGAGCGAAACAAGCATTTTTATTGGGTTCTTATTGTGCAATCTCATTTAAATCTTTGGAGCCAGCCAGGGAAGCATTATCACTATTTTACAGATTGGGAAACTGAAGCTCAGAAAGAATCTGAGGCAGAGCCAGGAACCCGGTGTAGTCACTGCTTCCCACTACAAATGCCTCCTTGGTAGAGTGGTTTCCAGCAGCACATTTACAAAGACATGCGGTGCCTCCAAACTGCTGACTTCCAGGAAAGAAAGCACCATCATGGTTGGAATACATGCCCCACCACCTGCGGGCCACCTGGCTCTCCTCGCCTGCAATAGGGCATAATAGTACAATCTACCTCACTAGGCTGTTGTGAGGAGTCAGGAGGGTCATGACCATGAAGCCAGGCACCAGCTGGCCCCGAGACCCTGGAACATGCCCTGCTGTGTCTTGGGAGTAAATGTGAATTGGGCCAGGACAGCTGGGTCAGGAGACCATCGATTTCCACACTGAAAATGGAAGCCTGTGGGAAGACAAAAGCACCTTCAAATAGAAGAAAATATGGAAGGAAAATCATACAGATATTAGCACTTATTTATGATTAAGATGTGAAGCTATGGATGAATTATGATAACGAAATTTGTTTTTTATATAGCTAGTGGTTATGTAGAAATTACTGTGCAGCACTTACACCTGCTAACTCATTGAGTCCTTATAATCATCCTAAGTTAGGTATTATTACTATGTCCATTCTTACAGATGAGGAATCAAAGCACAGAGAGGTTAAGCAACTTGCTGAAGGTCACACAGCTACTAAGGGTTAGAGCTGGCTCTACCAAATGATCTGGCTCCAAGTCTGTGTTCACTGCTTCCACAGAGTAATCGTCTGGCAACAGAAGGAGAAAAATGAATAACCTCGTTACCATAACTTAATAACCTCTCATTCGTGTTTCCTTTGTTTTTCATGCAAAATGTTTGCCTAGTTTTATTTTTTATTGACATCATTCTTTAATTTTTAAAATTAACATTACATCATAATCATTTTCACGTTGCAGTGTAGCCTTCACAATCACTGTGCTTTATCACTAGTAAATATGTCCATTATCATGTAGCACCTTTACTAATTAACCATTTTTCTACTGTAGGATATTCAGATTGTTTCCAGAAAATTTTTCTGCTATTAAAAACAAAACTCTGAAGAATGTCTTAGTGCATGCAGTTTTTCTTTTTTGTGGATTATTCCTCCCATAAATGGGACTGGTTTGTCAAAACGTAGCTTTGACACACACATTGCTGAGAGAGCTGTCTGGAAGGAGGTAGTTTGAGGCTGCAGGTGTATGTGGGCAAGTCCTCTACCCTGGCCCCTCAATTTCAGTGGACCCTGTTCTTGACAGAGCTAATGGAGCAGATAAACCACCTTCTCTCCATCTTCTGCAAGGGAGTCAAATCTCTCTCTTAGGGGACTGAAATAGCCTGGGCCGGTCACGTTGGCCAGGAAGGACCCCTTGTGTGCTTCTGGTGGGAGGCTGGAATTTGATTCATGCTCTGATTTTTTTTTTAAAAAGTCTTTGTGCCTAGAAATTAATCTTAATGTGTTTTCCCCTTCTCTCCACCCCTGGCTCTGCCTGCCTGTCTGCCTCTTGCCTTGCCACATCTGCCCATTTCTCCTTCCCAGGACACCGTGTGAAGATCTGCAGACCATGCAAGTTCAAGCCAGAGTCCCCCTTTTGGGTGGTGCCTGGGGCGCTTCCACAGGTTTAGTGTTTCCGAAACAAGGCTCAGTTCCTGAGGCACCCAGCAGCCTAGGTTCCCCCAGCATCCTCCCCTCGGAGCTGGGGCTGATGGCAAAGATCCTAAGACTTCTGGCCCATGGAAGCCTCTGCCCACAAACCATGAGCTTCCTCCCTCAAAGACACAGCATTTCTCATCTGCCATGTTGGACTTTTCTTACACTGCCTTTTAGAAAAGCCTGAACTGAAATTTTCTGAAAAACACAATATAGAAATAAGAGCTTAGAACACTTGTCTTTCTGTGTGTCCTTGGAAAAATAACTTAGCATCTCTAGGTTCATGTCAGCTTCATAAAATTTGGTGAGAAAAAAATGTCCAGGGGAGGCCCTTTAGTCACTGTTACCAAAGGCCTTTATTCACCTCCTCCGACCTTCAGGGCAGTGAGCTGGGATGTTGGAGAGCTTCATCTTGGGTAACAAGGGCCCTGGGAAAGTTCCAGAATTCCAGGTCCTGGTCCCAATTGTGCCACCAACCATCAGAGTTACTGTGAACCAAGCTCAGCCCACCTTGCCTCAGTCCTACCTGGCCCTCCAGCACTGATTCCACCATGACACATGGCAGCTATAAAGTCAGAGGCTTCTGAGCCTGCTGGGGTACAGGGCGACAGGCCCCCCAAGAGAGCTGACCAAGACTGCAGAGGCCCAGCCCCTCTAGATCCGCCTAGCCCCTAACCATTAGCATCCAGTGGCCCCAAAGGAATCCCTTCCTAGCTTTCTGATGAGTCTGCTGGAATGAACATTCAAATAAGTAATACGTGAATGAGCAAAATGCATGGCATGTCCTTGCATGGGAAAGCCTGTGACAGGACCTGAGCCACAACTTTCTGCTAGAGGAAGCCCGTGCCCGGGAGCTCCCCTCAGGCCACCTCTTCATCACAGCACATCCAGCTGTGTGAAGGGAGACCGAGAAATAGCGATGATAGCAAGGTCTTCGTCCAACACCCAGGGTTCAAATCCCAGTCCTGTCCAGGGTTTCTCTGTTCTATGGAATAAAGGACACAGGACCTACGAGAGGGCTGACACAGGCTCCAGCTCGTAAATGGATGAAAAGTACCCACTCATAAGGGGCTGGCTCACAGGGGGCTTGGTTCAGGGAGGTCCTGCCCCCAACTCGGGGAGTGTTTATGCCCACAGTGAATGGAGACTGCAGAGCTGTGGCTGGGGGACAGGTGGCCCAGGTCTAAGAGGCTTATCTCTCAAAGCTCCCTTCTAATCTGATTCTCCCAGCCAGGTGAGAAGCCCCTCCGCACACCATCCCCACAGGCATGTCAGAATGCCAGGCCCACCAGGTGCAAACTGATGGGCAGAGGTTCTCTGGTACATGTGGGGACATGGCCCCTGGGCGGCCAGAAGTCCTTACCTTGTCATAGATAGGCCAGGCCTTTCCCTTCCTTTCCCAAGCTTCATTCACAGGCTCACTCACACATCCCTTCCTGGGGTAGGTGTTGGTCAGACTGGGAGGTTCTGAGGCTCAGGTGAACAAATATGGTTTTTGAGGGCTGAGAAGCAACTATAGTTCCACACAGCTGTGAGTACTGAGGTAAGAGGGCCAGGCATAGGAGAGGGAGTGGGAAGCTGAGAAGCTGGTGCTTGACTGAGCTATGGGGGAGTTCCAGCTGGAGGTGTGTGTGCTTCTGTCTGTCTGTCTGGGGTGAAGTAGGGGTGCAGCAAGTGCCAGGCAGGAAAACATGAGTATTTGAGGAAAATTCAGCAACTGGACATCAAAATCAAGGGGCAAAGGAAAAGAGAAGAACACACTCTGGGGCCATGGGAGCACCTAGAATGCCATCAGATACTTAGTTTATCCTGAGAGTGATGAAGAGCCGGAGACGTTTGTAGGCAGGAGGGAATGCAGGCGGGAGGGCCGTCATGAGGGGATGGAAGGTGCTGGAACTAAGGCAAGATAGAGAGGGAAGGATCAGAGGGGTCTCTGAATAGCCTTGCAGGCTTGGCAGCTGTGTGGGCCGTGTTGCCAAGCCTGCAGTGGCCACTCCTGTGCTGTGCAGGACTCACACTGAGAATTTCCTTGGTGAGGGGAATCCCTCATCTTCCATCAATGCCAGAGAGCCTAGGCCATGATCCTTGTCTCTCACCCTTCTCCCTCCTCTATTCTCCACCTTCCCCCCACCCCCAGAAAAGGTAAAGAAAAATATCTCACACAGAATTAAATGCCTGTACTCAAGAGTCGACCAGCAGGAACAATTAAAGGCCACGTGCCGGCCACTGAGCCAAGTCTCCCTTCATGCTCAGGAAGCACAGGGCCCGGGAGCCCCAGCCTGTGAGCGCGTGGTAGGGAAGGTCAGGCGTGCAACGTACACAGACGGAGGGAAGACGGCCTGCGGCAACGGAGGGGGGCAGGAATGCAGGGCTCACAGCTCCGAGCCACGTGGGAGATGGTGCCCTAAACAGACCAGTCCCAGATGGGATGGGCAGTGACTCAGAGGGGCCTTCCAGGGACACTGACCCCTAGCAGAAGCCCAGGCCAAAGGTGAGAGGCACAAAAGGGAGCTGAGGCTACTGTCCCTGCCCACCTGGCCTGCCCCATCTGTCCTTCCTCTGAGAAGAGGGGGGAAGCCTGAGACTGGTTCCCAAGCAAACAGGTGCCCTGTTGCTAGAGGCCAGGGCCAGGAACATTCCTTCCCCTTCTAACCTGTGGGAGGCCACCTCCAGAACTTGCCACATGGGTTTTTAATCTTGGTGGAAGAACTTCACCCTCAAAGGGTAGACTGAGTCTACAGGGGCAATCTTGTACATACGGCGATTCAAGGCTGTTGGGACCTTATGAGATTACAAGGAAACCCCAAACATCTGGAAGTGACTTTTAGTTAGAAAACTGGAATTCTCATGTTGCCCTAATTGACTCCTTGAAGAATCCAGACATGTTTGCAGATTACGGTGATGTCATTAAAGAAAGTGTGCAGTCTCCATGGCAACTAAAGGGGCCCACACTCCCTATGTGGAACACTTGTACTGTTAACAGCTTCGAGCTTCACAGGTAGAGTTGGGTTCAAATGATGGCTCTGTCATGTGTCCACTGTGTGATATCAGGGAGCTCAGGTGACCTCTCAGAGCCTCAGGTTTTCCATCTTTAAAATGGGCCTGAGACCATCTATCACAGAGGGCTGTTAGGGAGAGTAAATGAGAAAATGAGAAATGCCTGGGCTTTGAAATAGAAACCAAATGGTCACAGATCTGCTTCCACCAAACTACAGGGATCCAGGCCTCTCCCCAATCCCCGCCCCCATTCAAGACCAGGTCCTCTTGGACTGACTTCATTCCTAGCTGCTATGGAGCCTCCTGGTGGGCACCATGGGCACTTCACAGTCCTGTGTGCCCACCCACTCTGCTGTTTCATCTCCAGGCTTAGCTCTAGGCACTGTTTCAGGTAAACCTTTCTGGAGCTCTGCAGAGGCCATGTCCTCTCTGGTCAGTATTCATGCAGGACCCTATACATGACCCCCTGAATGATTCTGAAGCCATTGTTCCCTGCCTGGAAAACATCATAAAACTCCTAGGACCTGGGTGTGTCCAGGGCTTCAGTTTGGTCTCCCAGACTGTGGCTGGTCCTTGACTGTTTACTAGCAGCCTGCTAACAGGTGGACAGCTCCAGAGGAACTGGCAGACTTGCTATCAACAACTCCATCCCTGGAAAAGGTCTTTGGCTCACCTGCTGTTTAACCTGTCAAACTGCACTGCCCTTCTTGGGACCTGCAGAGTGTGAAACAGAGGGTGGGATATGTCAAGCTACAAGATGTCAGAAATAAAAAGGTTCTTTTCTACAGCAAAAGGCAGCCTTTTGCCTGCCCCACTCAATGTTTGACTATGCTGTGGTCTGAATACTCGCCCGTGTGCAGTGGTCTTGCCACTTGCTATTGACTTTCGCTCAGCCCTTTTCATTTCCTGGCATCTCAGTTCATGAAATTGGCTTGGCTGCTCGATCTGCCAACTTATGAATGGATGAGTGGGGGAGGAGCATGTCAAAGGCTGCAGAAAGTAGTTGACTCAGACCTCATATCAAGGCTGACTGTCAGGTGCCTTTTCATTCATTCATTTATTCAGTCATTCATTCAACCAGTCAATAACTACCCACTAAAGACCTGTGTGACAGGCCCTGTGCTGCTACTGAAGCAACATATGCATGAAACATATGTTCCCAAATAGTTCCTAAATAGTTCCCAGCACTCTGGGGAGACACCAAAACAGGCAGACTAGAGCACCGAAGTCCTTCATGGCCCTGTCAAGGTCCCAAGTAAGGACCAGTTCTGCTTGGGAGTAGAATATGCCAGGGGAAAAAAAAACCATCTAGAGGAAAACACATTTTTTGGTGTGTCCCTCCGCAGGTTCAGCCACATGACAGGCTGAGATTGCAAAGGAGACTACTACAGGGTAAAAACAGGGCTGAAGCTGCCCATCTGTGCAGATGCCAAAATGGCCACAAGACAGCATTTCAGCCAGGAGTCTGAGGCAGTGAGTACTAGTACCAACTAGATGGGGACTGGGGAACAGGTGGCAGCCCCAGACTCCTGCAGAGTCCCCCAGTTAGGGGGACAGGCAGAGCCTTAGGCAGATAGGAGAGGGATCCCATCCCCATGTCAGGGGAGACTGAGGCAGCCACCCTGCACCTGGCCTGGACACAGTAAAAGCAAGAGGAGGCCGCATTTCAGAGTCCATGGTGTCCAGGACTCCCTGGCCTCCTGAGCCCACTGCTGTGGGAAAGGACTCCCAGCTTCAGCCAGATGGGCGCTCCCTGGCCCAGGCCTGCAGAGGACAGTCCTCAGGACACCACCTGGGCTGGGATCGGTGGGGCCTCACAGCCATGTCCAGGGAGGGTCATCCAGGCCCACTGGGCTCCCCTGACCTACCCTGCAGCTCAGGACCACATCATGCTCTGAGCCAGCGCTTCCCTATCATAAGCAGCCATTTTGTTAGAACTTGGCAACTGGACAAAACAGCTCAGGATGCCAAGTGCTGGGGCAGAGGACAGCCCACCAGGCGGCCTCATCCTGACCGCCAGGGCGGGTCAGGGCCCTAGAGACCTGTCTTTCCCCTCCTAGGTCAGGGTCATTCGGGAGATGAGCCAGAATAGCAGGCACCTGCTACTCACCACATAGCACCGGAAGGAGCCTGGAGAACTCCCTGCCCAAACTCCCCTGGTGCAGGTGTGTATGCATGTGCTGGGCATGCGTGTTTACATGAGGAGATGTGAGCGGATTCACATGGAGGGGTGAGCGTCATGTATGTGTGTACAAATGGGTCTGCAAATGGGACTAGAGCTTGCGTGTGTTTGTGGGCAGCCATGGAAATGTGTGTGTGTGTGTGCAGGCGATGCACTGCGGGTTAGCACACTCAGGTAGATCAAATATGGGCAAAGAGGTCACAAGAGCCTCGGCTGCCACACTGGCAGATGGAGCTGGAACACACATGCGTGCCCAGCCTGGCAGCTGGACCAGCTGTTGTAAATCTAGCTGAGGAAGAGCTGTCAGAACTGACCTAGAGATGACTTGATTTGGTATTTCACCGCAGGTGCCGCGATGAGGAGACCCCGGGAGAGAAGGGGCTGGTCATTCTGCAGGGTGATGGGCCTGTGGGAGGCAAGGTGACTGGTGTGCCTGAGGCTGTGGGGGAGGGCCAAGCCCCTAGTCCAACAGCAGGTGAGCCCTTCCTTCCCAGCGATGAGACACTAAGCTCTCCAGGCCCTCTGTACTGCAAGGTCAAGATCAGGATCCATGGTGAGACCGCCATGAAGAGGTCTGCATTCCCAGGTCCTCAGGTGCTTTGTGGACAGGGGCATGTGTAGAATGACCAGCTCTTCCAGTGTACCGCAGACCTTCCTGGTGTTAGCACTGAAAGTCCCACATCCTTGGAAACCCCCCAGTCCCAGGCCAACCAGGATGGCTAGTTACTCTAGCAGATGTGAACCTGTACAATGACAGGGGCAACCTCTTTAAGAAAACATAATATAAACTACAAGTACAAAATTAGTGCTATGGAAGGGATGTATGAGCAAGGGACCCAGAGCTGAAAATTCAGCAGCTTCACCGTCATCTTCTGCCACTGGAAGAGTTCCAGCTGTTTTTGGAACCAGCCCAAACTGGATGTGACTCCAGGCTCTGTCCCCTCACGGACTGTGTGAGCCTAAGCAAGTGACTTACCCTCTCTGTGCTCTAATTTCTTCCTTTCTCAAGCAGGGACAATCATCCCAGGAGAGGCTGTGCTGGCTACAGGAGATGACATGAGTGACAGCCACGCACACGCACACGCTGCGTGGGGCACCCCTCTAACCCTCTCCGTGCGAGCCTGTTGGCTGAATGAACCGAGAGGAGTCAGACTGCAGACCCCTGATCGGGTCTTCTCAGCACCCGGCGAGACCCCGCCTCAGGGAACTGGCTGCGCCTCCGTTCCCGGGGCGGCTGCAGGGCCCGTCTTCGCCTCTCCGCGGGACTGGGGGACGGTGGCCTCGGCTTTGTCCCGCACTTAGTGACACAAAGACTCAGAAGTGTCTGTGCCATTGAAAGTGCAGCTTCCCAGCGAAAGGGCCAAGCCCAAGGGTTCAGCAGGAGGAGTCATGGCTGCGCATGAACGCGGCCAGGCTCTGGGCCCCGGCTCGTCGTTCCGGGGGAGCCCCTAGCTCTGCAGCGCCCCGCGGGCGGCG